CTTCACTCCAAACAGCCATATTTTGAGATCAGTGAGATGACCACCCATACACCCATGAACCGCGCCTGCGATAATTTATGAACTTTAGACTTCGCTAGTGCGTTCCTTTCCCCGGGTGTAAATAGCTGGGGGGAATTAGTACCCTCGCCCTGGGCTTACGCCCGGAACGGCGCTCCGTGCCATTGGCTTGGGAAAAAAAAGTACGAGATCCTCTCAAATCAACACCACTACCAGACAGACCATGGCAACAAGTGGACATGGATTTTTGGGGGCCATTGCCCAATGGCGAATTTTTGCTAGTGATTATAAATGAATACTCGCGATACCCCGAAGTTGAATTTGTTCATAGCACCAGTGCCTAAGCCGCTGTGGGGGGAGGGGGAGAGAAGTGAACACCGAAGGTGTGAGACCAACTAGGGGGGTCTGGGGGCATGCACACCTGGGAAAGTTTTGAAATGTAGAGGACGTCCCCGAAATGCGATTTCAAGGATTTTTGGAGTGAAATCTTGCAGAATTCCAAAGATTATAATAAAAGTACATCGAAGACATGAATTCTCCCAGACATTTTTCCTTGGAATGAAATAAATTGGAAAGTCACCTTTCAGAAAAACAGGAGGAGGGGTCATGCAATGTCAACCTTATTTCCCCTCTGTGATGTTGGGGGGGGGGGGAGAAAATTCCAATGTGATTTTGACCAGAAATGTTGCATTTAAATAATTTTAGGTTCTATGAGACACCATTCTCGCATTCTCAAAACGTCTGAGAAGAAATATTCATGCTATGATAATGCATACAATGTATTTAACAGTTAAAAATCTAAACTAAATCCATTCTTCTGGAAACCATATCTACAATTGCTTTAACGAGATTTTACGAATCAAGTTCCTCCATTACATCGTCATGTTACTTAAGACCCATAGACTACACGATATGTAAACTAGTCGTATATACGATTCTTATCCTGGCGTATGTATTCGAATAAATGCGTGTAAAGATGTCACATTTCAAACTTCGCCATAAACTGATGAGCAGGAATAGTGGCGTCAGCAATCGTTTTCATATGCCAGGATAAGAATCGTATATGACTAGTTGTATCGTGTGGATGGGCCTTTAGTCGAGACGACTACACTTAGTCAGTTTCAGCTTCAAGTATATATAACGTGTACCTCCCCAATTTTTCTACGGATTTAGCCTTCTTGAGAGAATGGTTTTTGTGGTGTCGCATCCCCTCAGCTACACCACTGCCTACATGGAGGGCTTGTATGGGAAGCCAATATATATTCAGAATGGCCTGAGCGTTAGTGAGTATGGTGGGCTTATACACAGGAGGGAGAGTTTATATTCGGAGGATTACAGTACCACTTCTGTCCCTGTCGGTTGCGAGGTGCTGCCAGGGGGTGGGGTTCACAGCTGGAATTGATATTAAACTATCTTTATACAGTGTTATTAACTTTAATATATATTCTAATATTCTATTGAGTTGTGATCAGTTATATACTTACATTTATATTATTCTTCGGAGCGTTTATTTGGTATATCAGTACGTTAATAATAGCAAACCACTCTCAAGAAAGATTGAACTATCGGTGTCAAAGTTTGTTTTTTTATCTTGAATTCTGCTTCTTTTGAATCACAAACAAATCAACCTGGTTAGCACTATTTTACATCCAGCAAACTGACCTGACGTCATTTTCGAAAGATGAAAGAGGTGTCAAATGGCTATGTACCTAACCCAAACCCTACCCCTACTCTAACCCTAACCCTAACCATAACCGAATTAATAAAAAAATCCAAAAAGAAACGACTTTAGAAAATCGATAGGGCGGTTTGCTGGATGGAAAATAGTGCTAACCAAAGGGTTGAAAACAGTGGTTGAAAATTATGGAAAATAATTAATGGAAGCACCAGTGTTAAAATTTAAAATGCCCATTGCCCAGAATATAAAATGTAGTTCAGCAGTTGCAATATGGTATACAGGTATACCAATACGAAAAAAATTAAGGAAATAATAAAAACAATACCTCTCCAAAGTACTAGTTGTTTAAAGTTTGTACAGCACATAGAAACAGTTTATCCCTTCAATTTCTGTTATTTCGGTAGCAAGGAAATTGTTGGATTTGTCATAGTAAAGTGGAAGCTCACTGGGGTATTTTGCAACTAGCAACACAAAACAACACAAGCTTTCGAAGCGAGAAAGAAGAATTTTTGTTGGATTCCTAAAACTTTTTATGGACTAAACTCGTTTATGGTTCTTGTCTATGGCTGATAATGATAGCGAAAAGCTAACGAAGCAGTCATAAAGTTTTTATAGGATACGTTTCGATGACATATAAAATAACTAATTACGGACAAAGTAAACATTCAAAATTAGCGTCCAACAGACAAGCTTGACGGTGATGGCAACAGATATTGTTGCAACTTGGGATGTTGCTTTAGCTGATGGCATACACACTGTGCTCTTTGAACACGGCACAACCACCGGCAAACGAGTCATTCTTTTGGATGGAGTCGAGATACTACGAAAAAATTGGATGTTTCGTCTGGTGGGCAAAGAAGAATTTACCATTGGCAAGAAAGCAAAGGCTACGATACGCATTGAAGCTGTGAGCGGCTTTGCGTACGAGTACACTCTTGATGTGAATGGCAAGCCGTTGAAAAAGTTCACAGAAAACCGAAAGAAAACTGCAAAAGTTTGGAGGTTTGTTCATGGTGGCGAAGAAACAAGAGTTGTTTTAGGTAGGCTATATAAAGTTGGCTATATACTCTTCCAATTTCCAAAAGTCGCCTAATTCCTATTTCCTTCTGCAATTAATATACCGAATGTATATATTTAATACTCATGCAGCTTGCTTTGGCATACTTTAACATATATGTACACGAACTTGCGGTTGGATCTCGACAACTGCAGCTGGCCTCTGTAACTCATGTGGTAGAGCACTGCACCTGCATCGCAAGGTCACAGCTAGCTTCCATTCCTGCCATAGGGCCTATATTAAAGTAGTTGCATTATTACACTGGCCGCAGCCAGTGTCATAATTTGCCCTTGCTTGAAAATGCTGTCTTTTTCTGTTTTTTCTTGGTTGTCGCAAGTGTGACTTTCCATTGCGGCTTTGTGGGCTCAGGATTGCGCAATTTAACTAGAACATGCTCACGACGATTGTTAAGACCAATTCTACACAATGTGTTTAACTATGTTACAAATCATAGATGCTGTAATTGTGGGGTGTATTTTATTTTATTTCATTGCGCATGCGCTTGAACTTTTCTGTGTTTTTCGATATGATATCGCTGAACTCTATTGGTGCCGTCCTCTGAATGTTTGTGATCATGAAGTGATGGCCGTCAAGAAGTGAAGAACATCTACATGTTTCAAATTATTTTGTAGAATATTGCGATGGTATTTTACCAACCGCGAGGCCAGTGTGAACGCCTGAACGCCTGAGCAGGCGTCTTGTTTGCAACTGCTCCTGGTTGGGTGTAATAAATGTATAAAATGCACACTAGAAATTCCCATCTTCAAACCCTTATACAATAGTACTATGCATTTAATAAACCCCAATCAAAATATGCAATTTTGATTATCAATCAAAATAGTAAAAAATAAATATTAATTTAAATAATAATAAATAATAATTGACAATTATTCGCCAAAGGTGAGGTGATTATCAGTGAATAAAAACCGAGACGAAGTCGCAATAATCACCGAGCCTGAGGTGAATAATTGTTTTAGTATAATTTCATACCTGATTATTTGGGCAAAAATTTAAAAAATACAATTCTTTGTCATTTTATTGACAAAATGGCTTTGGCCGCCATTTCGAAAATCGCTTAGGTGATCAACGGCAACCAATCAGTGTGGAGAATTTTCAATAATCACCTATGTAATTATACTAATGAATATTATTATTTTATTAATCAAAATATAGTATGCAATTTAGACAATCCAGATTGAAGGTCTGCTCCGCAGACGTCACGACCGGTATCTCTGGCTGGTATCAAAGATACTGCTTACCATTCATTTATATGAAGAGTTATGTGGAAGTTTAACTGTTACAATTCACTGAAGAACACAATGATTATGAAAAATTTCCATTATTCCATACTGCATGAATATTTTAAAGCTTACTGTAAATGTAAGCTGATACGTCACTTCCGTTGGCCTAACTAATCAGTAGATGCTAATAATCAGCAAGATATCATTTGCAATTTATCTCATTGCTGAATTGGATTTTTGTTGTTGGTTTATCCCTACTAAAAACAGGGATAATAGGATGCATAAAGATTTTGGCCATCTCGTAGTACAGATGCGTTTTACATTTATTTTCAAACAAAATTTTTGGCCCCAACCAGGAACAGTTGCGAAAAATGCACTGAACCTGTGGCTGGCCAGGTGACTGGCCAGTAGACAAAAATGTGTTCTATGCTTAACAATATTAATTATTATTAAAGTGGGTGAATTTAGGTTATTACTGTAGGAACAGAAATTTCCCCCAAATGCTTACTAATAAGATTATCATAACTAAATAAACAACTTTTTAAACATCGAATAAATTGTCATTTTGTAGAAAAAGATACTATGGATGTGTGGTGTAATGGAGAAGTCCTTGAGACTGCAGTAAGTGTATAAATATTATTTTAAAAATAATCTCTCATTCAACAACATTACCACATGATTAAATTCCTTGGAATGGCATGCAATCACATGCGCATGCCTTGGCACGTGCCTCAGCTTATAAAGAAGTGTGATTTACTGTATCATCTCCTTGATTAAGCTGCAATGCAAAATATAATTATAAGGATCCTACACTATTTTTTGTACATTTGTACAATGAAAATTATATAGTAGCATACACTAGTGACTTTCTACAACTAGGTTACCCACAAGGCAGTAATGCTGCCTTTGACAGCAAAAGACAAACTACAGGGTGTTGAACGAGTCCTTCAGAAACATCCTATTATTGTTTAGCCTGCATGGCAGGCGGTTCCTAAAATTGGGCAAGCCTGGGAAATACCGCCTGCCATGCAGGCTAATTATTGTTATCCTTGTTAACCCATTTATTGACAGTACCCTACCACTGACTGAGTATTAAAAATTGTCTGGCGTTGGACAGGGTAAATACTAAAGTAGGGGTCATTACTGTGCTGATCAATTAACAAGAGCCATTGGCAGATAGGTTTGTTAACCCATTTACTGGCAGTACCCTATACCACTGACGGGTAAAATCTTCTGGCGCTCGACAAGGGAAGGGCGCATTGCCAGCTAATGGGTTAAACCACCGTGGTTAAACATAAGATTTCATGATGCTCCAGGAAATGTAAACAAGCTATCAGTGTGACATCCCAGTTTATATATTTATATACTCGGAATATTGATTTCTCGGTACATACAAAATTATTTTAAAGTATAACAACCAGCGAAGACGTAAGGCACTAACTACCCTGTGCGGCTGCGCGCAGACTATATAACGACATATATATGTCATCCATCCGGTCCGTCCGTCATTCATCCGTCCGTCCGTATCCGCGTTTTATCCTAACCCGTTTTTAAAACACAAAGTTTGCATTTAATTAAGGCAGTGCGGTTCGTCATGATCAATATTTTCAAAAGCGGCCAATTAGACCAGGGGTTAAAGGGCAATGACAATGACATGCAGGTGACATTTAACATTGCGTCTCACTAATTAAAATTTGCGTGTTTAATGGTGTTTATCAAAGGAAGCAAAAATATATACAAGACAATCTCACATGTGGAGTTTTTTCACTTACAGTACGTACTGCCTTGTGATGCAGTACAAGTATAAATACAAATGACAAAGCATTTGTAAATCCTAAAACATAATTAAATCATACGGCACATTTAAGATTTTAATATCGTATTTCAGCCGCGTTTATACTGTTTGGCGCATTCGCTGCGTTATATTCATGTATATACACAGAAAAGCATGTCATTGTCCTTGCAGACCAGAGGCAAACAGCATTTGTCAACCATGCACATACCAAATTTAAGCAATCGTTAAATCAGATACATGTCATAGAAAGAATATGGAAATAATGTTGAATGAAAGCTAGCATCGCGTATAATATTAAAAGCACCGCATATAGTGCTCGAACCACTGCGTATAATTGCAAAAGCATCGCGTATATAAATGGTGAAAGCATCGCGTATAATACTGGAACCACCGCGTATAATGGCGAAAGAACCGTGTATAATGCCAAAAGCACCGCCGTATAATGCTAAAAGCACCCAACAAAATGCCGTTTGATCACTTTAAGCCAGCTATGGCTTTCCATAAAAGAAGACCAAAGATGAAACATGATCACATTGCCTGTTTGCCTTATGCCTGACCGCGCTGCACCACGGTTAAAATTCACTGGTACCGTCATGCAATGCGCCAAATAGAAAATTTTGATTTCGACCCACAAAACAAAATTAGGATCTGCTGCCTTGCTCGCTCGCTTCAGGCTCGCTCGCTGCGGCAGCAATTATATTTTAACAACACAATTATATTCTAACTGCAGAAAATCAGAAACCTGCACATTGATAGGATTCCAACTACCTGAAAAATACAAGCAAAAGTACGACGTTTCGAGCGAAGGCATCGACTTCGTCGGGATAACTTCCCAACAAAGGGCCGAAACTCGAAACGCTGACGTTTTGATTGTATTTTTCACGTCCTAGATATTTGACTTTGTATACAGAAGATCTATTATCTGATACCATCTAACAACCATCTGACACACTTCTACCATCAGAAACTATCAGACACGATCTTCACCATCTGATAACCCTTCCCTGTCTAGCCACCCTACACCATCTGACACTACATTATATGACACCATCTTCACCATCAGACATCATATGCCTGTATTGGACATTAGTCAGAATCGAACATGGTATCAAACTGCAGATTAGACAGTGTAATATAAAAATGAGAGAATGTTTAATATCTAGCTGTGTATACTACATAGTAGAAATTGGTATTTTCAACTTGCACGCATAGATGATCAATGTCTATTGATTTTAGGGGGAATTTGTTGACGGTGGCACAGAAACGCATTTTAAACTCCACAATAAATACAATGCTCATATCAAAGCAATTAGTTCTGGCAGACGGAGAGAGGGAATTATTCACACGCTGTTTGTTGAAGACCAAGAAATCGCAGAGACAGATATAGACATCTAGGAGAATTAGCGTCACGCTATAGAATTGTGTCAGCAGAAAGAAAGTGAAACTATTCAGTATAACACTGAAAAAAGCAAATGCTGCTTGATTACAAAATATAGTCGAGGTTTTCACAAATGCATGCGTGATGGTGAGTTAGGTGATACAGTGTTTTGTCTGATTACATATGCATGATATCAAGAATATCCAGACCTTGATGAGTTTTACCAAGGTATGCACTTTTCAATTTATGCACTTGGGAAATGTATATTTTCTAATTTAAAACGAATCAACCGTGCCGAAACTACTGTAATTGTTCCTTGAACAATTTTTTGCTACGTGTTATAGTTCGACTGCATTTATCTCGACGCAGAATGCATAATTTAGATGCGCATTCCGTGAAACTCTGAAAATTATTGCTCAATGTAGATATGTATTTAAATAGATAATAATGTATTTAATTTCACATACAGTGAAACCTCCATTGAGAAATTCCTTGGAAACGAACACCTCCGCGTTGTTTGGAGGTATCCGCTGTCTATAGTATAGATGTTTAATGGCAGTAGCTAGACGAGTGTAGTGTGCAAGATACAATGTTACAGTAAAAAATGGGATAAATTGCATTTGCAGTTTAACATCTAGCTGAGACTGGGAGAATTATAGAATATGCGTACCGGTATGGCAATTGCTAGATAGTATACTTCAAAATAAAGTTTCCGTTTTTATATCATTTTTTTAAAAAGTTAGGGTTAGGTTGGGGTTTAGGTTAGGGTTAGGTTAGGGTGAGGGTTAGTATTAGGGTTAGGGTTTAGTTTTGCATTAGGATAGTTTTTCTACGTTACAAAAACGGAAACCTTATTTTGAAGTATACTATCTAGCGATCACCGTACCGGTATAAGAGTATTTATAGCTGTTTCACGCATGCCATGGATTGTAAAATAACTGGATAGGAAACTTCCTGACGTCACAGTCTACTAGTTGCAATCTGTGACGTCACGCGTATTGCCAAAGTTCTCAGCATTTTTGTTGTTTCGCTATATTTTCCGCTTTAAAAGAGTAATATTGAAGCATAAACTGGTCTAATTGTTTTAAAAACATGCCTAAGCCACGACAAAGTATTCAAGGTAAATGTTTTTCGTCTTCGTTTTGCATTTTTTTACATTTGTAGCTACGAAATTGGCGTCGCCAATTTTAACGAAATTTGCGATGCATTTTTCACTGTTTAGTGCTTGAAATATTTGCTAAAATTGACTGGGAATACTTAGAGATTTCATCGTAGAATGGCGTATAGTTATATTTATTTGCTCTTTGACTAAAATGTTTAGCTGTATTATTGCTAAACATGCCGTTTTTGAGAATTTGGTTTGCAACTAGGTTTCAACATCCAATCACGCCATCAGCTCATTGAAAACATTAGGTCACGTCAGCTAGTTTCCTATCCAATTATTTTATTATCCATGCTCATACAATAGAACTGTCATTAAATATTTTATGTACTACCATATTTTGCAAGAAAGATACACTCAACACTCAAGGGAATATATTTTGTTTTTTTAAAGCGAATCAACCGTTTTTTGAGCGTCTTTTTGCATATTCACATGACGATTCAACAGTTGAATCAATTTGATATGCATACCAGTGTATTCTAATTCTTCCAGTCTCAGCTACATGTTATGTATGAGTCAATTCCAGGAGTAACCATCCCCCTGATTTGATTGGTTATGATAGTGTAAATGCCCAGGTGCCGAGACACAATTTGAAGACTAATGCACGGCCCTTGGGCAAGCTGAGAGTGGAAAATGCCCCACCCCGGGGACGACTTTACAGTCGATTTCACGAAACTTTGACCACAAATGTTCTGAACTTCGTTGCGAAGTTAGGAAGCTCATATTGGATTTCACAAGCCAATTTGTAAACAAAGTCCCTGATTGGTCCGTGAAGTAGAAGAAGCCAATCAAATACGTAGTTTACAAACTGGTTTGTGAATCTCATTATGAATTTTTGAACTTCGCAACAAACTTGTGAACTTCGTAACGAAGTTCGGAAAATTTGTGGTCTTATCTGACAATAAATTTCACGCCACCTTGACCACGAGGGCGCAAAGTACGATCAGCGCGCCCACATGCGCTCCTGAAACTAGGTTTTGTTGCCTTAAAATTTGCGGATGGGATTCTGGGCAACCATTTGTCAAATCCCCGGGGTCCTTCAATACCCGGCCCCCGTGCACGTATATGAAAGGCAAATTCCCGACCCCCGTGAACTGTCTATCAGGCAAATTCCCAAAGGGAATGGTTACTCCAGGAATTGACTCGTGCATTATAGTTCAACTGCAATTTATCCCGACGCAGAATGTGTTACTTGGATGCCAAGTTTTTATAGTCAAGTGTTTTTCTTACTTTTATAAGTATATTTATAACTAGTTCAATTCAATGAAACCGCATCTTCGACAGGACTCTTCGTGAAATATTGGAAGGGAGTGCGCACAATTTGCTGCTAGAAATCTCAGTTCTGTAACATTTTGCCTGACATTAATACATGCAAAATTTCCTAATTTATAGCCTATATACTCAGGGCAAGAAGAAAATAATTTTCTTCCTGGGAGCACAACCTGGGGACAGCCTGCAGACCC